AGTTTTTTGTAAAGGCCCTCTGTTTGTAGATTAGCTGAATTGCCTTGATCCCTTTCACTGCCCTTTAACAAAAGAATAAAAACAATTGAATCAGCACTAGGTGAAGGTGACCATAATTAATGCATGATTTGATTATAAGATTTAGCAAAGAATCTATGTTATATGCTTTTATAAAATCCTTTCATTTATGATCTTTTAATTCTGTATCCTTAATATTTTAATCAATAGTAGTTTGTGTTTAGTAAAAATTGATTTTGAGTATAAGTAAACTACTTGTCACTATGTAACTGCATGCTCTGCCAACCGTGGAGTTCCTGGCTTCAGCCAGGTGACTACAGGTTTCAATGAGTAATTGTTTGTTAAAAATGTTTTCTTTGAAATAGAAAAATATGTTTTAGGATTGCTTCTTGCATTTTCATAACCATGATGTAATGAAAAATGAAACAATTGGATGTTGTGCAAAAGCTTGTGATGATTTATGTATAAATAAAGAAGGCAACTTTTCTGAGTTGTCCATTATGAGCATCATGTCACAGTGGTCCGTGTCTTATCTCTTCCTATCATCTCGCCGATCCACACATCCTTTGCAAGCTCTCAGTCAGCTGGAGCTGGTCTCCGGCATGTTGGTTACTCAGTGGCGCTTTTTTTCATGGTGCTGTAATTTGTTGTTGATGTTGTTGTGGTGGTGGTGGTGCTGGTGGCTGTTTTAACTCATACAAGTTGTCGACCTTGTTTCATGACTTCTTAATTATGGAAATGTATAGTGGTGTAGTACTGGGATCTATCATATACAGATGTGGGGATATAATGGAACATGCATCTTTGCTTCTGCACTAAAGATGGATTTCCAATGAAATTGTTGGACATGTGTAGACAATGGGATGCTTGACTGTCTGACATTGTCTGTACCAATAATGTCGGGGTACACTTAAATAAGAGACTGATAGAATTATGATTCCTTATGAAGGACTACACCATTGCAGTAAATTGGGGAAAATCTGTCAGGGATGGGAGTTTGGGGGGAATCCCAGCCTATACAAAATCGTACCACATAATTCAGAATTCAAAATCAAAATACATTTAAAAAATAATAATAATAATCTGCAGCACCAGCTGAGCTCCTTGGGCCCTGAAAGCTGTGCTCCTTGTTTTTCAACAGTAAAGTCTAGGAGAGTGCATACAGTAGACACTTAGAAGCTGTTTGCTAAATACATGATTGTAAGACAATATAAACACGTAAACCATGAATATGAATTGAGGTAAATATATTCTCCTTTATCTATGATGTTCTTCTTGTTTAGGCTTCCATAAAGGCAAATCATAAAAAAAATCAAAGTGATCATTTTAAAAATCCCAGGGTAAGTTCTACCAGTACTGGTTCATAATACTATCAATCACTTACCATGAAAGCTAAAATAGCAACACAGAGAGTTTCCAAGTGGTCCTAACATGAAATGATAGATAGGCCCAAACATAGGGCCCGGGGCAGTGGCGCAAGTGGTTAAGGTCCTCGCCTTGCACCCCCGGAATCCCATATGGGCGCCGGTTCTATCCAGGCAGCCCCGCTTCCCTTCCAGCTCCCTGCCTGTGGCCCGGGAAAGCAGTCGAGGACAGCCCAAAGCTTTGGGACCCTGCACCCGCGTGGGAGACCCGGAAGAGGCTCCTGGCTCAGCTCCAGCCATTGTGGCTGCCTGGGGCAGTGAATCATCAGATGTAAGGTCTTCCTCTCTATCTCTTCTCTCTGTATATCCGCCTTTCCAATAAAAAATAATAAAAATAAATCTTTAAAAAAAATAAAACCAAACATAAATATCCATATTATATTATGTTTAAGCATATATCAACACAGTAATAGTATTTAAACAGTTCTTTCAGGCACGGTGTGATAGCCTAGTGGCTAAAGTCCTTGCATTGCATGCTCCAGGATCCTATATGGGAGCCAGTTTTCATCCCTGCTGCCCCACTTCTCTTCCAGCTCCCTGTTTGTGGCTTGAGGAAGCAGCTGAGAATGGCCCAAAGCCTTAGAACCCTGCACCCGCGTGGGAGACCCAGAGGAGGCTCTGGCTTCATATCAGCTCAGCTCTAGCCATTGTGCTTATTTGGGGGGTGAATCAGCGGACAGAATATCTTCTCTGTCTCCTTCTCTCTGTATATCCGACTTTCCAATAAAAATAAATAAATCTTAATTTTAAAAAAACAGTTCTCTCTCCAATATCTAGTAAACCATAAAACTAGAGCAGGTACAAAATCTAGACAACTGTAAGCAAAAAGCAATACTCAAAAGATTATAATAAAAAGACCCTCAATTTTCCTTATTTTAACAAAAGCATGGATAATAGTCTAACCATTAGGATAAAATGATACACTAAAAATGGTTATTTTTTTTATTGGAAAGGCGGATATACAGAGAGGAGAGACAGAGAGGAAGATCTTCCATCCGATGATTCACTTCCCAAGTGAGCGCAATGGCCGATACTATGCTGGCCCGAAGCCAGGAGCCTCTTCCGGGTCTCCCACGCGGGTGCAGGGTCCCAAAGCTTTGGGCCGTCCTCGACTGCTTTCCCGGGCCACAGGCAGGGAGCTGGATGGGAAGCGGGGCCGCCAGGATAAGAACCAGCGCCCATATGGGATCCTGGGCATGCAAGGCAAGGACCTTAACCACTGCGCTGGGCCCTTAAAATGATTATTAAGGACTTAAAAAATGTAAGGCCTAAAGCTGAAACTACTAGAACAATTTCTTTATGACACTGGAATATGTAAGAATTTTTTGGATCAGATTCCAAAATCAAACTAAATCAAAAATAGACAAATGTGACTATACCAAACTAAAGAGCTTCTGCACAAGAAAGGAACACATCAGCAAAGTGAAGAGACAACTACAAGAGGGAAGACTATACTTGCAAGTTGTAAGACAGAAAAGGAGCTCAACAAACCAATAGTCAAAAAAGGTCTAGTTTTAGAATGTGCAGTAGATCTAAACAGACATTTCTCAGAGAAAGGTAGACATAGCCAGTAAGTACATAGAAAAGTGGTCACTATTACTCACTCATTACCAGGAAAATGCAAATCAAAAACCCTTATGAAATATATCCTCACTCCAGTTAGATCAGGTCTTATCCAAAAAGAAACAGACTTTTAGCCTCATGGTTAGCATGCTTGTGTCTCATAGTGAGCATCTGGATTTTATTCCTGTCTCTTTCTCCTGATTCCAGCTTCCTGCAATTGCAGACCACATCCTAGGAGTCAGCAGGTAATGACTCAAGTAGCTTGATCCCTGCCACCCTCATGGGAAACTTGGACTCAGTTCTTGATTCCCAAATTCAACATCATCTAGACAACTCATTGCAAGAATTTGAACAGTGAAGCAAAAGATGAGCATTCTCTTTGTGTATCTGCTTTGTCTTTGTCTCTTCTATTACTCAACTTATTTTTTTAAAAAAAAGATAAAAAATAAGAAATGCTAATGAGCATATGGAAAAATGGAATCGTTACACACACCACTGGTGGGGACAAAAGTTGATACAGTCATTGTGAAAATCAACATGGAGCTTTCAAAACCAAACCAAAGCAGAACAACAATATATCTGTAACTACTATATGATCTAGAATTCCTTTGTGGATTTATATCCAAGGGAAATAAAATCACTTTGTCAATGGAACCTCGACATTATCATGTCCGGTGGAAATGGGGTCAGCCTAAGGGTCCATCCACTTATAAGTGGATACAGAAACTGTGGTGCATATACACAGTGGAATGCTCGCAGCCATTAAAATAATGGAATCGTGTCATTCACTATAACATGGAAATGGAGGGTATTGCACTATGATACGTAATACAGGAAGTACAGAAAGTACCACATGAATCCATGCCTGTGGAACCTTAAAAAAAAATGTTATTTCACAGAAGGAAAAAGTATAATGTGATTACCAGACACCGGGGCAGTAAAGGGAGAAGATGGGATAAAGGTGAAAAAATTGATTATTGAATATAGTTATACTTACGTAGAAATAACTTCTGTGATTCTATTGCACAGTATGGTGACTGTTGATAACATTAATACATTGTATATTTTTCTCAAAGAAGAGAAAGTCAGTTATCAGGATTTTTGATGTTTTGAGTTTTTTAATATTTATTTTTATTTGAAAAATAGGGAGAGAGAAGGAGAGACACAGAGAAAGAGAGAGAGGTGTTCCATCCACTAGTTCACCCACTAAATGACCACAACAGTTGAAATTAAGTTGATCCAAAGCCAGAAGCCAATAGCTAGGAGCCAGGAGCTTCCTCTGGGTCTCCCATGTGGGTACAGTGGTCCAGGGCCTTGAACCATCCTCTACTACTTTCCCTGGTCACAAGTAGGGAGCTGGATTAGAAGTGCAGAGTAGCCGGGACATACGGATGCCTTTGCCACAGGGAAATTAGCTTGTGATGCCACTGTGCTGGCCCCAATGTTTTCAGTTCTAAATCAACATATTCACACATTGTATTCAGGAGCAACATCGTGTGCTTCAAAAATAAATATTCTAAACAAATATATTGATTTCTTGAGACAATAGACTTTGATCAGATCAAGGATTTCCCTTAGTATTTTCTGCAAGTAAACTCTGCTGCTGTTAGAACACTTACTTAGAAAAATCTCTTCATAACGTGATCTGAGTTACATCACAATGTCTTAAATTCAAAATTAGGCTTCAAGTGTCTTTCTTCACTCAGCAAAATTGTTGTGGAAACCAGGCCATCTGCTGAAGCAGTCCAGTTACAGGCGGCCTTCAGGATGTGTTTAGCATGTGTTGTTTTAGCACTCTGTCAGATTAAAAACCCACAAAACAAGTTCACCTTGATCTTTCATGGAAAGTCTAAAATATCTCAGACATACAATCTGACATGAATCTGATACAATGATGTTTTCATCTAGTGAAGGCACAAATAAAGTAGGACTTTTGCTTCACTTAAACCATCAGAAATACAGAACACAGTCTCCAAGCTCTCTTTCTGCAGAAATATGGCCAACAGTGCTGCTTCAGAACAGAATCAGAATCACTGCTTAGCCATCAACAACAGCATCCTGGTGATGCAGGCCAACCTCCCCACCCTGACCTTATCTGGAAAGATTCGAGTGACCATTACTTTCTTCCTTTTCCTCCTCTCCACAACCTTTAATGCTTCTTTTTTGCTGAAACTCCAGAAGTGGACTCAGAAGAAAGAGAAAGGGAAAACAGTCTCTAGAATGAAGGTGCTTCTGAAACATCTGACCTTGGCCAACCTGTTGGAGACGCTGATTGTCATGCCATTGGACGGAATGTGGAATATCACAGTGCAGTGGTATGCAGGAGAGTTCCTCTGCAAAGTCCTCAGCTACCTGAAGCTGTTCTCCATGTATGCCCCAGCCTTCATGATGGTGGTGATCAGCCTGGACCGCTCCCTGGCCATCACGAGGCCCCTTGCCGTGAAAAGCAGCCACAAACTGAAGCAGTCCATGATTGGTCTTGCCTGGCTCCTCAGTAGTCTCTTCGCCGGACCACAGGTAATGCATCCTTCTTCAGTTTGTTAGGACATGGTAATCACGAATATCCTGCCTAAGTTCGAGTGAAAGGCTTTCCAAAAGCAGCACGTACAGTATTCCCTGTTAGCATCTCAAGTCTAGAAGTTAGAGGGTGAGGCTTAATACTGACTCTCTTGTTACCTTAAGCAAATTTCTTCACTTCCATGTGTCTGTGTCTTTATTGATAAAATAAGGATAATTTTAAAACGTATAAAACACTGAACTAGTTAGGATAAAGAGAGTTTGTCTGCCTGCCTGCTGTCCTTTTATTTGACAGGAGATGATAAGTAGGCTGTAAGAAAATGTAAAAGTATTTGCTTTAGGACATGACATAGGAAATGTAAGGAGTAAAGCTGACTCAGAAGCAATTGCTAATTTAAGATACTGCAGAGAAGTAGAAGAAAGCCAATTTTGTAATACTAATTGAATGACAAGTTCAGTTTCATTGTCCATGAAATATTTTCCTGAAGCTATAACCTGTTAATTATTTTTAAATTCCGTTATTTTTTACCTAAGAATTAACACAATAATAATAGATAATGGAAAATATTATACTTTATGTATATCAGTATAAAAATTATGAAGCTAATTTCAAATTAAGACACATTAATAGACTCATGTCAAGACATTATTCAACCAAAGAAATTTACTATGATACAAGAAAGGATGACGCTATTTTACTTTGTTAAACAAATGACTTATTACTTTCAATAAGACTGGATCTATAAAGCACTTGGCTGAAGTTTCTTGATTTCGTATAGCTGATCTTATCTGATTGGCTGCTACTTTGCTACTTCTATTTGCTCCACAGAGTAAGTAGAAGATGTGTTGCTGCTCTCTTTCCAGAAATAAGAGAATTAATATCCAGCTCTTTTGAAAGCAGTGATTTCATTTAAAAAAAAAAAATTTTGAGCCATCTTCCATTGTGTTTTTTTTCTAAAGATTTATTTTTATTATTTTTTCATTGGAAAGGCGGATATACAGAGAGGAGAGACAGAGAGGAAGATCTTCCATCCGATGATTCACTTCCCAAGTGAGCGCAATGGCCGATGCTATGCCGATCCGAAGCCAGGAGCCTCTTCCGGGTCTCCCATGTGGGTGCAGGGTCCCAAAGCTTTGGGCCGTCCTCGACTGCTTTCCCAGGCCACAGGCAGGGAGCTGGAAGGGAAGCGGGGCTGCCGGGATTAGAACCGGCGCCCATATGGGATCCCGAGTGTGCAAGGCAAGGACCTTAGCCACTGTGCCACCGCACCAGGCCCCTGAAAGCAGTGATTTCAAACCATTATGGCAACAGTCCAAATACATACTCCATTAGAGATCAAATCGGACTTTAAGAAACTAAGAAAAGTGTTCTAGAAATAAATATTCTATTCTTTATCATTTTTAGTGTTGCTTACAACTCACTGATGGATATATCCTCTAGTTTGAAAAACACTGATTGAAAAGGATTCAATTACTCCCATTGTCACTTAGCCTGTTAGACTGCTGTCTTCTCATTAAATCCATTTTTTTCTTTAATTGTAGTTATCTACTAGCTCTCTAAATAAAAAGAGGTTTCAACCGTTTGACTGATATATTTTGATGGGTAGAGATGGGAAGAGTCTCTTTATTTCCAGACTTTCACACACAGTAAGTATATATTTTGCTTAACAAAGCTCTTTGAATAAGTCATTTGACAAAGACATAGCCTGGTGTGACCAATTTATATTGCTAGGCTGTAGCGCCCCCTAGTGTGCATGAGAGTCAGGGCGGGGTGGGCCAGGATGGACAAGGTGGCAGCACCTGTCAGCATGTGTGTGAGCCAAGTGTGGGGGTATGTCAAGCCGAGTTAAGCCAAAGAACCCATAGGCACATATGCCAGACAGACAGGATATGGGATGGACTAGAGTAGTCTGCTGCACATACAGGCATGTGCAGGAACTGGGACTGCGGGTGGGCCTGGTGAGGATAATTATGGGTCAAACTAGGCTTCAGTTCCCACTGGTGTGGTTTGGGACCGGGTTTGTGCCTGGCTGGATGGCGCTAGGACATAGCACCCATCAGTTGGTATAGGAGTTGGGACTGGGGACGGAACTGACCAGGCAGCATTCACTGATGTGTGTATAGGTTGAAGCAGATGACAGACTGAACCATACCCCTCACTAGGTGGCACACATGCGAGTCAGGTCTGGAATCACCCCAGGCAAGGTTTCTCCAGGGTACTCCCCAGCTCAATCACTGGACTCAAACTGGCCATGGGGAACATCTTAAGATATGTGGTCTGACCTTGAAGTGCACATGTCAGGACTGAGCATTCTCAGATGCTCATGCTTGTGCAATCGACAGCATGTCCAGAGGCACGCAGGAGACATGACGTCTGGCTCATTTAGACCAGCAGAGGACGTTCAGTGCCATGTCAAAGATCAGAAAGTAAAACAGGTTGGACAACTCTCCTGGCCAAGCTTTGACAGCAAATATCTAAGAGTGCAGGTACACTCAGGTGGACTTGGTCAAACAGTAGACCTTGGAAAGACTTTTCCCAATCCTGGAACAATGAAACCAATGTTTCAGAACTGTCACAACCACTCAGGTAACACCCTCGGAATAGCAGGGTCTCTGAGGTGACACCAAAAGGCCATCCCTTCCCGGGCTGTCAATGGAGTCTGGCAGCAGTGAGTGGTCTCCTTTCGGCCCCCACCAGCCCCCACACCCTGCCGCAGATATAGGAGAAAAAGAAAAATTGGAAGCACTTGTTCCACTCACCTTCCTCCCAACCCTCCCCACCCTAATCAGTGGCCTACATAGGCATGCATCTGTCTCAACTATGCAAACAACATCAAAAATAAAATAAAATAATAGAATAGAATAGTAACTCGATCATGTAAAAAAAAAAAACCTCATTTTCTATTCTTTGTTTTTGTTTATAATTTCTTGTGTTAATCTCTAAACTGACGAAAAAGGTATTTATCTCCTTTCAAATAAACAACAAACAACTACATGCCACACAAAAAAAGAAAGATATCCAGATACCCGCAACAAAATGAATGGATCATTATACTAAACAAAATATGCCAGACATAGAAGACAAATATCACATGTTCTCTCTCATATGTGGAAGTTAGTACACATGGAGGATGGTGGAGGAGCCAAGCAAAGGGAGAGAGGAAGGGTTTGAAAGAAAAAACGGAGAACACGCTGTGGGAGCAGCCCTGATCTAAGACTAAATTGACAGGAAAACATTTCCTAAATCAGGTATGCCCACTCTGGATGTGACATGGCATGGTTTCTAAAGAAAGTCATTTAAAACTGCAGAATTCCAGAGAGTAGATTATTTACAGAAAGAGTTCTTATCCCTAGCTTATCTCTGTAAATATGCAGCATCACGTTTTTGACAGCTTTCACATTCCACAGTTAACTAAGGCCTGCAGGCAAGAAATACGAACCACTCCTTAGTGTTTGGCATAAAGCTGTGCGGACTAAAGATATGTGGAGGCTTGCCCTAACACACAGAGAAGTCACATAGAATGTACTTCTCAATTTGCTAAGAGGTTTAGACTCAGTAAATACTTATCACACATTTACAGAACACCAGCATCATGATACAATATAGCAGTAGCTTGCTCCTAACAGAAACCATAACAATGACGATGATGATGATGATAAATAATAGTCATAAGTATTCATATATATGAAGAAACTAAGCCTGCAAAGATACAACATGCCCAAGAGTGTGGTCTAATACATACAAATGTTGTTATGCCTATCTGCCCTATAGCTAGAGCTTTGGACTACTATACCAAATTAAGTAATCTTTTATATTTCTTTTATTTCTTAAGAAGGCTAGAAAAGAAAATAAGAAATAGCCTAAAGTGAATAAAGATGGTCAAAAGACATTTTAAAAATGTGGTTTGCTAAAAAGAACTTTTTAAAATATGGTTTGCATTAATAAGGGCACATCGACACACAAATCTTAATCATGAAAATAAGATATATTTGGTGCTAACTTTGTGCCAGGTACTATTGTCAGGTACTTTACATGACAAACTCATGTCATTGTCACAATAGTTCCTGGAGGTAGAGCCTATTACAAACTTTTTTTTTTAATTTTTGTTTTTGAAATTTATCGTACAATTGTGTATAGTCTGGGATTCCCCTTCCCCCAATTTCCACCCCGCAACTGATTTTTCCCATAATGTCACAACTCTTCATAAGGAGTTACACTTCCATCAGTCTGCAATTTACAAACTTATTTTACATCTAAGGAAACCCAAGCACACCATGTGAAGATACCACCTTGGGAAAAGATTAGTTAATAGTGTAATTAATGGGGAGTAAAATCGAGGACTAAAGATAATACTCTCAGAAAAGAACACCAGGGCCCGGCACGGTGGCGCAAGTGGTTAAAGGTCCTCGCCTTGCACGCCCAGGATCCCATATGGGCGCCGGTTCTAATCCCGGCAGCCCCACTACCCTTCCAGCTCCCTGCCTGTGGCCTGGGAAGGCAGTCGAGGACGGCCCAGAGCTTTGGGACCCTGCACCCATGTGGGAGACCCGGAAGAGTCTCCTGGCTTCGGATCGGCATGGCACCAGCCGTTGCGCTCACTTGGGGAGTGGGTCATCGGACGGAAGATCTTCCTCTCTGTCTCTCCTCTCTGTATATCCGCCTTTCCAATGAAAAAATAATAAAAATAAATCTTTAAAAAAAAAAGAAAAGAACACCTGTAATTGATTATGAAGAAGTAAAACATAATGTTTTTGTTTAAGGTGAAATAAAACCAAACACTGATAAGAACTGGGGCTAAGGAAAAAACAAAGAGATAAATTAAGGAAATCTAACCTAAGGTCAAAGCAAGCACTGAAAATTAAGTGGGTCCCTGTAGTCATAATTATAATAATCATCGCCTTGTGAGACAAAATAAACTGAAACCAGACTAAAGCAAACCAATTTATGGACAAGATTATGAAAGAAAGAAAGATTGTCCAGTCCTATGTGAGGCAACATTCTGAGGACTTCAAGATGTAACATGCCTACAGACTAATTCAAAAATGAACTTTAACAAGGTCAGCTTGCAAAAAATATGGAAAGGTGAAAGGTTCACTTCGTAAAACGGAAAAAAATTGGTGAGGATCACAAGATAAAATTAGTTGAATGCACTTACTCAAGTCTCTTGATTTAGTGATACTATAATCACCATGCTCCCTCTAGTGGAATCATTTCAATATTACACTTCCCCTCGAGGATAAACAAGATCTAAACCCAGAAACCAACATTTTAATTACAAATAAGAGGGAAAGGATTATTTTTGTGCTATAGTATATTTTATAACACTCTCTTTTAAAATTTAACTATACTCCTTTTCTCCACACCTCAAGAAGAAAATATCCCCGGACCTGGAGCCAGCACCACCGCATAGCAGGCTGCACAGTAGGTGGGCACCTGTTCTTGTCCCTGGTGCTCCACTTCCAAGCCGGCTTCCCTCTAGGGTCTGGGAAAGGAGCTCTGGGCCCCTGCACTCACAGCGGAGCCCTGGAAGATGCTCCAGGCTCAGCAGCCATTCTAAATAGTGAAACACATCATTCCAGAGTAACTTTAGTAGACACCTCTACTGTATTCAGTGAGGTAGAACATATTTTCATTTGTTTAAGGGCCACATTTACATCTTTTCTGTGAACTCTGCTCATGCACTTGTATCATTTTTAAAAGCAAATGTCACTGTAATAGGAATGTCTGTCTCTAAAATAATATTCAACTATGTGCTCATATTTAGGGAGAAACATTTTAATGTACCTAAAAGTGAGAAAACAAATAACATTTAAAGTTGTGGCTGAAACAACTCCCCCAAAATTCCTATTCCTCTAGATACATTCGTACTTTCCTAAACATTGTTTAAAAAGTCAACATCTAGTTATAGTTTTAGAGAAACGCCTACTGGCAGTAGGCCTCAGCGTAGGTCTGGGTCACACCATCATCAAGGTTACCAAGCGCCATGCATCCTCAATCCGGCAATAGAAAACTCAACCCAGTCCCTGGTATCCCTACAGTGACAAATCACCTTGCTGGCTAAAATGGCATTCCAGAATCGATTAGCCCTGAATCCTCTGACCACAAGCAAAGGGGAAACCTGTGCCTTCCTACAGAAACAGTGTTACTATCATGTTAATGAATCTGGCATAGTAGAAACTGGGGGAAAAAAATCTCTAATCAACAAGTGATCAATATGGGCAAAAATTCAGGTTTTAACGTCTGGGAATCCCCCACCCTAGTAACTTGGCTCATGCCTATCTAACCCCACTAATAGTTATAGGCCTTTTATTAACAATTGCCCCTTGTTTTCTAAGGTTCTCCAAAGAAAAAACTCCACAAAGCCTCATGGGTCACTGTCAACTGTTACTCCACCCCTACATTCTGGTGCCCACAGAACCCTCTCCAGGCCACAGTTAGGGACTACGCCCCTCTCCAACAGAAAGTAGCCAGAACGACTTCATCGCCTCTTTTCCTATTAACAAGAGTCTGGAATGATGACTACCAAGGGAATTGGAGGCAAGGGGCTGGATCGGCTCCAGACCCAGTATGTCGCCCAGGCTTCAGCCCAGAACAGGAGGGGCCACAGGAGCCAGTTATATCATCAGCCTGGCAGGATTCCAGCTGACCAATGGCACACCTGAATGGACAGTCCCTACATAATTGGGGCATAGACAGCCCCTTGCCAGCCCACGTGTCTAGAGGAGTAAAAACTCCCAAACACGTATCTCAGCTGCTCTTTTTTGCCTTCTCCATCTTCCCTCCACTCGGTGTGAAGGGAGCCCAGGAGCAGATTTTCCAATAAAGCTTCAGTTACGACTAGGGGAAAAAAAGGATATGATTAGGGATTCTAGTTTTATTGTTTGTTTTGTTTTTTGTTATTTAGACAGCATGTTATAAGGATAGAATACTGGAGGGAAGAAATTCAAATATTATTTGGAAAGAAAAATAGCATGACATTTGTATTTCCATTTTTTTAATTTACACAGCTATACATCTTCAGGATGCTCCACCTAGCAGATGGCACTGGGCAGACGGAAATTTTCTCTCAATGTGTAACCCACTGCAGTTTTCCACAATGGTGGCATCAAGCCTTTTACAACTTGTTTACGTTCAGCTGCCTTTTCCTCATTCCTCTTCTCATCATGCTGATCTGCAATGCAAAAATCATCTTCACCCTGACACGTGTCCTTCATCAAGATCCCCACAGTATGTATTCCTCAGATTTAGTGAAATGGACAGTTTTTGAACAGAAATACTCAGAGTGGCTCGCAACTATCATCACATACTGTTCTTTTTGTTTTGTTTCTATCCTTTGAATTATTTCGCTTTATACAGGGTAAAAAAAATTTCTATTTCAAAATAGTGACACATCCCATCCTATTCCCCCTCCATTCCCCAACCTACTCCATCCTACCTTGTTAATGTTTTAAATGAAATTCTTACCATGGCACAATTACTGTTCATTTCACAAGCCTAGGCCTAACTCTCCACTAGGCAAATAATTCAACAAATAGCAAGTGCAAGAAAACACACACACACAGTTTCTGGAGAATATAGACAAAGGCTGAATGTCATAACTAATCCTCAAAATGTCCATTTTGCTCAAAGAGTTTTTTTATAATCTGTATACTAATTACTAAAGATAAGAGAAACCAGGGGACAGATTTATTCCACTGAGCATATTGATTTACAGTTGGATTCATTCATTTTGTTGCAAAATATTTTGTTCCTTTTATTGCTGAGTAATATTACATTATACACACACACACACACATTTCACATTTTCTTTATCTAGTCATCCCATGATGGACATCAGCGTTGATGCCATTTCTAGTTACTATAAACTGGCGTGCAAAAAATAACTCTTAAACGCTGATTTCATCTCATTTGGGTAAATTCCCAGGAATGGGATGGCCAGTCATATGAAAAATCCATATTTAGCTCTCTAAGGCTCTCCATACTGTCCTCTGGATTAGTTGTACTAGTTTACATCCTCATGAACAGTGGATTAGGGTATGTTTTCCTACCCATCCTTACCTACAGTTATTGCTTTTTGATTTTTTTGCATGGTAGCTGTTCTACCTGTGGTAAAGTGAAGCCTCACTGTGGTTTTTCTTTGCATTTGCTTAGTAATCCTGAACACTTTTTCATATGTTGTTAGCCATTTGTATTTCAGTCTTTGAAAATTAGCTGTTCACATCCTCTGTCCATTTCTTAACTAGGCTTTTTGTTATTGTTGATTTCTAGAGCTCTTTATAGAAATGGGATATTAATTCTCTTATTTGCATTTTAAAATATTTTACGCCATTTTGCTAGCTGCCTCTTTGTTAAATGTTTCCTTTGCAGTACAGAAGCTCCTTAGCTTGATTTAATGCCATTTGCTTATTTTTATTTTAATTGCCAGTGCTCTGGACTCTTTTCCAAGTGGCCTTCTTCTTACAAAAAAAAAAGGATTAATTTATTCTAATTGGAAAGGCAGATTTACAGAGGGAAGGACAGACAGAAAGATGTACCATCCGCGGGTTTACTTTCCAAGTGGTCACAATGGTCAGAGATGAACAAATCCGAAGCCAGGACGCAGGAGCTTCATTTGGGTCTCCCGTAAGGATGCACAGTCTCAAAGTTTTGGTTCATCTTCCGTTGCAATCCCAGGCCATAAGCAGGGAGCTGCATGGGAAATGGAACAGCTGGGACACAAACTGACACCTAAATGGATCCCAGCTTGGATGTGGAAGATCAGCCAAACGACCCATCATGCCAGGCCCTTCCAAGAAGTTTTGACCTATGCCTATATTCTGAACAGTTTCCCTGACATTTTCCTTAGTAATCTGACGGTAGGTTGTAGATTCAGATCATCGATCCATTTTGCATTGGTTTTGGTAAGAGGTTTAAGGTAGGGGATTTTTCATACTTGTGCACATGTAAATCCAATTTTCACAGCACTCTGTACTGAAGAAACTGCCCTTTCTCCCTGGATTTATTTCAGCTTGTTTCTCAAAAATTACTGGGCTGCAAATGTGTGGGTTAATGTCTGGAATTTCTATTCTGTTCTATTGATCTGCATGTCAATTTTGCTGCAAGTCCAGCCTGTTTTGATTACAACTGCCCTGTATTACATCCTGAAGTCTGATACTGTGATACTTCCAACTTCATTTTGTTGTTAAAGATTGCTTTAGCTATTCTGGGTCTTTTGTGTTTTCTTATAAGCTCTGGCATCATTTTTTTCTAGATTTGTGAAGAATATCATAAGTATTTTGATTGGGATCACACTGAATCTACAAATTTCTATATACATTTTGATTATATTAATTCTTCTAATGAATGAATATAAAAGATCTTTCCATGTTTCAGTGTCTTCTATCTTTTTCATTAAAAATTATACTTTTCAGGCCCAGCACAATAGCCTATTGTCTAAAGTCTTCGCCTTGCAAATGCCAGCATCCCCATATGCATGCTGGTTCTAATCCTGATGACCCCGCTTCCCATCCAGCTCCCTGCTTGTGGGTTGAGAAAGCAGTCGAGGACAGCCCAAAGCCTTGGGACCCTGCACCTGTGTGAGAGACCAAGAAGAAGCTCCTGACTCCTGTGTTTCAGCACAGTTTCAGTTGTTGTAGTTGCTTAGGGGTGAATCATCAGATGCAAGATCTTCCTCTCTGTCTCTCCTCTTCTCTATATATCTGACTTTACAATAAAAATTTTTTAAATCTTTTTAAAAATTATAATTTTCATCATAGAAGCCCTTTGCATCTTTGATTACATTTGTTGCAAGGTATTTAAATTTTTTCATCTATTGTGAATAGGACTAATCTTACAACTTCTTTCTCAGTCATATAATGGTTTATTCATAAAAAGGTTATTGATTTTTGTCTGTTGATTTTATATGCTATAGCTTATTAAAGTCTCTTATGAGTTCCAATATGCCTTTAGTTCTCCTATATAGGGAAGCATGTCATTTGCAAGCATGGACAGCCGGAATTCCTACTTTTACTTTGTATCCCTTCAACTGTTTCCACAATCAAATCCTTTATATCCTCATAATATAAAATATGTGTGCTCTGTGTCCATATATTATGGAATATTACTGATTAGCTAACCGATTCACGTAAATTTGGCAGATGTGGTTACACCATTTTTGCTTCAACAATCTAGCACATTTCTCAAAACTAAAATTTATGAATTAAATAAGTGCAATTATGGTTATGTGGCATGCAAAAGAAATGTCATTAATGGTATCATGTGTAAGTTATATCTGACACAATCCAAAATGAAAATAATGTTACTTATTATGGCATGGCAATTCTCAGCAGATATTCTCAAAAAAAAATAATCAGAGTAAAGTTCTATAATAGATATTTGGGCAGTTTGTACCTCCCAGCACAAAATGTTATTTGAAATTTCAAAAATATCATATCCATTCCATACATATAATTCTTTCAAAATCTTATCCTAGAAAAACTCCGTTCTCTAAGGGCTGGATAGGAAGGAGAATAGAAAGATAAATCCTCAACAATGGTTAGTATGAATGTGAGCACTGAAGGAACAGCACAACCAAAACATGCAGAAGCAGGGAGAAATAATCAAATAATACATTTTCAACTAATATGTATAAACTAGTCAGTACTGATTGAAACCGTGCTAAGTGGGAAACCATGGTAAATAAGGCAACCCTAGTAAATACTTTAATCTGCCTTTCTGAAGTTAAACAGTAAACCAGTAATTAGATGTGACAATTCAAAAGCAGGATCAACACAGAATGTTTCAAGTGTCTCTAAAATGGGCATGTTTATACATGCTCATTTTACCAAGTCCAAATGTTTTTGTTAAGATGTATTCATGTATTTACACTGAGAGGAGGAGAAAGGAGGAGTGGAGAGAGAAAGAGAAAGAATGCAAGAGATACAGGGAGAAAGAATAAAAGAGAGAGAGGTCAGCTGATTCACTCCCTAGATGGCTGCCGTGGCCAACAGTGGGCCAGGCCAAAGGCAGAAACCAGGAGCCCCTTCTGAGTCTCAGATGTGAGCATAGGGGTGAAACATTTGGACCATTTTCCACTGCTTTTCCCAAGTCATTAGCAGAAAGCTGGTTTGGACGTACAGTAACTGGGACATGAACTGGCACCACATAGGATACCAGCCCAACAGGCAGCAACTTAATCTGATATGTCAACAATGCTGGCCACTCAAAAAATTGTTTTGTTTTTTTTTTAAATACATTGTTTCTATTGATTGTTTTATTGCTTTCATGCCATTGAAATTTGCAGATACTAAAAAGGAAAGGAAAGAATGTATATAAAGAGCAAGGCTCTTAGGGCAATTAGTTTTGTCTGGTCAAAAGCACCATTTAGGGAGTAAGCCAGCAGATGGAAGATCTCTGCCTCTCCCTGTCTTAGACAAATTTTTAAAAATAAAGAGAACTAAGCCCTCAGCTTCAGGAGAGGCAACTTAAGGCAGTTAGTCCATTAATACCAAAAGTTTTCTTCCAAGAGAAGCAACCTGTGAACTTCCAAGGTGTATTGTAGATCAAGAAATTACAAGTTTCCTAGAATGAAGCAAACAGCGGAAGTAGATCATTTGAAGCAGCACACGCATCCATACTTGATTCTCATCAAGTGGCAGAGACACTGAGTGAGCACGTTTCGGTGTAACACCAAACTCAACTCAGCTCAACTTCTGTCTATGCTCTCCAACTTACATTTTAAGAATTCTAGTTCCCTGTATTTCAAACCCAGATTAATTTGGTAAAAACTAAATGTTAAGAGCAATTGCATTTTTAGGTTTTCTACTTATTTTCAACAGTAAAAAAAAAAAAACTTGGCATAAAAAATATACTTTCCAAAGAAATGAGCACTATGAAAAACACTGGGAATTTTCTCACATTATATTCATGTATTTATATTCATGTATTATGAGACTATGTAATTCTCATCTCCTTTTGGTGGTTTTTCTTTTTTTTTTTTTTTTTTTTTTGGATCTTGTTAGAAAACCAGTCTGTAACAACTATTCTTTATCTAACAGAACTACAGTTGAATCAATCCAAGAACAATGTACCAAGAGCTCGACTGAGGACCCTCAAGATGACAGTTGCTTTTGCCACTTCGTTTATTGTCTGCTGGACTCCCTACTATGTCCTGGGAATCTGGTATTGGTTTGATCCTGAAATGTTAAACCAGGTGTCTGAGCCAGTTAATCACTTTTTCTTTCTCTTTGCCTTTTTGAACCCATGCTTTGACCCCCTTATATATGGATATTTCTCTCTGTAAGCAGCAAACTGAAAGTCACTGAAGAAGGGCAAGGCACAGAATTTCTTCACTGAGAAATGACAAGCAGCAAGGCTGCAGCTTACCTGCCTGGAAATAAGCTAAGAGTTAACCTTAAACTATCATCCTAATCCTTTCAGAGACTGTACTGTCAGTGTCTGCTGTAGGAAGAAAACAAGATTTTTTTTTTCAAGGAAAAAACACTACCGAGTATGCTTTTATTATCATCTGCCAATTCTAATTTTCTGTAATAGATTAGATGGATTTATTATTACTTTCTCCTTATGTAATGATGCAAAAATATTTAAAATAACCGCAGCTTAAAGGGGAAAAAAACTTAGACATCACAGCACAGACCTTACCTTAGCATGTCAGTTTCTCTTTAAAGGGGGCAGAGGAGCAGTGACAGCAATCTGCCATAAAGTGACATAGAAAACAGAGATGGATGCTCACTGTCCAGAGACCCACTTCCTTCCTGTGGTTTAAAAAAAAAAAAATGTTAATTTTCTCTTTAGCCTCAAAAGCATTCTGACATGACAAAACTATGAATACTCCTATTTCATCCCACTGGCATGCTACAGGCTCTAAGAGGCCTAGCTAACTTGCTAAACAATGAATGTGAGGACGGGGATTTGCACAGCAGTTTTTACATTCTTGGAAGCTGTAAAGTCTGTGGAGTTGTAGAACAAAATGTCGAAAACAATATTTTAAATATAATTAAGAAAAGCCACGCTAATTATGTTTTATGCATAACTGCTCTTAACAAGGTAGGATATTGTTTGCCTATCCCTTGATCTCACTGAATCCCTAACACATACATTTCTAGGAAAAAAAGTTAAGCAAGTGCATGACCAAAAAAGATGTTTGATACATGAAAGGAATTTGGGGGAGAACATCATACAAAGCAGAGCATGAGTGTGAGGGAGGGAAGAAAACTGCTTTCCTCACAAATGTGAAGCTGTCAGCGACTAGTAGTCACCTTAAATACTACGGTTTCCAAAACGCATCCACACAACAATCTTTTACTTAAGAGGCCTGTGTCTAACCCTTCCGTGAAAAATGCCACAGTGTGAAAGCAATAAGAGTAAATATTCATTTACTAGGAAAACATAAGGAATTGAAAAGCAATTAAACCTTTACTTAATATTTATATGATAGATAAGAGTCACAAAAGACAAAACAGCCTCCAAATCTATTAGGCAGGTGAAATTTTGTAAATTGCTGACAGATTTCAAGTCCTTCCTTATTTTCTTCCTTTTATACTTTCAGCCTTGCAGTGTTTGTAATTTTTTTCTTCTTCCATACCTGTATCATTCCATATTGTGCTACTATGATAAAGCGCTTGCAGCCAGGTTACTTTACAAAAAGAGCTCTTTTTTTTCTTTGTGTTAGGATTTCTGTTTGTCTTTGGGCTTTCTTTTACTTTGTTCTGCTTTTTCGTTTCCTGGGTTGCTCAAAATCCAGGGGCTAGCTCTGAAAACGGATTTCCTGCTGGAAGGTTCCCAAGAAAATTCAGGGCACTGCAAGAGAAAGGGAGTTGTGCACGTTGTCTTCTGGTTGCTTTCTCTTATACATTCACTAATTTTCCACCATGGGGTCTCCATCCCGGTGGTCCTATTTTAATTGCTCTGAATGACCCAAACCATAAAAATGATGGGTTGATTAAGTTCACTCTGTCTTAACAGTTCACAAGTAGAATTAAACTTCAACCCATGAACCCTTGAATGCACTCAAACTGTGTCTAAAATGCAGCAACTTTATTTTCCATTCTATCTCCTCTTTTGTACATTTTCTTTCTTCTTTTTTTACTAAACTGATTCCTTTAATTAACCAATTCATTGCTCAACTCTACAGATGAACTGTACAAGGCTGAAGATTTGTAAGGTACTAACATGCTCATATTTGGCCTGGATACTCATAAAAATATCTGTTATTCTTCTAAACAGTAGAGGATTATAGACCAGTTGCAATAATAATGATCTTCTGCAAGATTCTATATCTTTAAATTTACTCTCGTCTTACAATAACTTTTACTTCCGGATTTACAGGCAAAAATAATGCATACATACATGGTACAATCTAAGGGCTTTATTACTCATTGTGCAATGAATATCTCTCGGCTTAATTCGTAGGTGTTCGCAAAACTTCTATTCAGATATTTACTGTGTTGTTTATTTTTAATCAACCAAAGGGCTATTCAGTCTTGATGCAGAGGTCCCTAACTTGTGGCCTACATACAAAACTATATTTCAATGTTTTTGCTTTGGTTTTATTGATAATACTTTATAACATCATCCTGAGAAGGGACTTAGAAACTATATGAGATTCCCAAAGCAGCTTATTACACACAAAATGGTTGATTCTCTACCTGATTTTGTATGTTTATAAGGAAGTTGATTATAATAAAACTGTTTCAGAATGTATTCATTAGATTTATAAATGCATAATAATGTTGCTATTAAAACTAGGTTACCTCAAAATGTTTAATCATTATTATCTGAGAAACATTTTCCAAATTGTTATCTAATTGAAACACAGAGAGCTCTCAGACTGGTTTACTCCTTAAATGCCTGCAACACCCAGGGCCACCATACCAGTGGAAGCCAGGAGCCAGGAACTCAATTCAAGTCCCCCTTGTGGCTAGTAGGAACCCATGAGAAATTCTGAAAGTTTAAAATGTAATGAAAACTTCACACATTAACTATGTGAGCATAATGCAGACATGGATTTAAGCTAAAATTCATAGCCCAGAAGTAAACGTCTTTTGGTTTTTAATTTATCTGAGAAACATAGGCTGACAGCATTCCCATCTGCTGCTTCTCTTCCCCAGTTTCCTCAAAGGCTGCAGCTGGAGTGGGACCCAAGCGGGGAGGCAGCAGCTCAGTGCAGGCAGGAATCATCACTGCTGACTGAGTCACTCCCAGAGCAGGTGGGGGCTGCACTGCTCAGAAGCCAGAGTCAGCCATCAAACCGGGGCGTCTAATACAGGACGTGATTACACAAGGTAATCAGCATCGTAACTGCTCGGCTAAACACCTGTCCCTAAATGTGACTTTTGAAAAAAATATCAATCCACTTGATACAGACTAGTTCATATTTGATATTATTATAGTCTTTTATCCTATTTCCAGTTACATTAAAGGTGAAAATTCCTTGGGAAAAAAAAAAAAAGGAAATGTTCTGCAGAGTGAATTCAGGCTACTAGACAGCTAAGATTTTATATTGGTTGCCACTTCCTTTATTCAGCCTATAAAAGTATTTTCAAATTGTATTTATTTTTAGAACACATTTTAGTAAAAAATTGATGAAAACTAATAACTAACTGAACAAGAATTACATTAACTCAATTTCAGTCTATTAAAAAACACATAGTAACAGGCCGGGTGCTGGTACCCAGTGGCTAAAGTCCTTGCCTTGCATGCACCAGGGTCTCATATGGGCACTGGTTCATGTCCCAGATGTTCCACTTCCCTTCTAGCTCCCTGCCTATGGCCTGTGAAGGCAGTAGAGGATGGCCCAAAGCCTTGATACCCTGCACCCAAGTTAACAGTGAAGCTTGGAGGTGGGCATTTGGCCTAGCAGTTAAACTGCCGATTAGGACACTCATGTCCCACACTGCAAAGCCTGGATTCAATTCCCAGCGTCAGTCACCTGCTACTGAAACAGCTCAAGGACTTAGGGTCCTATCACCCTGGATTGTGATACCTGGATTGTGGGATACGTGGATTGTGTTCCTGGCTTCCACACTGGGCTAGGTCCAGTCATCCTGGGCATTTGGATAACAGAGCAGAATACCTGAAGAAATAAATTAAAATGCTTTGAAAAATTAAAAAAATTACTGTAATTTTAAAAGTTACATAAGAAAATGAAAACACAGGGATAACAAATACATGAGAAAATGTTAATATATTGGTATTTCTGAATCCTTCTTAAACTTCTATTCCTATGAATTTCTGTAATTCCAAATTTCCACAGTATGTTTATATTTCTTTTGTAATGTGAAAAATACAATAAATATTAGATGTACTTGTGTGTTTTGGCATCTCTCTTCAGGCTACAAGGCCTTCTGCTATAAGACACAGAAACGACAGACTTGAGTCTGTGTTTTCCATGTCATGTGGCAGAATTTGGTTTACTCAGAACTAGAAAGCTTTCTCCACTTCCACTGGGCTTTCCACTCATGATTGGAAGTTAGCTGTGACCATAGGAAGTCTCAAAGGCAAAAGAAAAGGCATTGTCTCATTATGGAGCCCTTCTCCAGATCCTCTCAAACAGGCCAAAAGAGGGACACATGACAATGTTTGAACCAATCCCAGCAAAGACAGCAAGAGATCATCCTGCGCATTTAAAGGTCATGATTCATTTTCTGGGACAGAGCTCAATTGCTCTGAACATGCAGCAACCTGGTAGTTTATCTAGCTCTTTGTGTGTGTGTGTGTGTGTGTGTGTGTGTGAGAGAGAGAGAGAGAGAGAGAGAGAGAGAGAGAGAGAGAGAGAGAGAGAATGGATGATCTTTTTAATCAGAAAACTGACAGCATTATCTTGCGGACAACCACCAATTTCCCAAAACAAAAGAGACTATATGTGCCACAAATTTAAACAGGTACTCAATCTTCAGATTAAACTCCGGGAAGCCTCATTGCTCTTTTTCTTAGTTGTGTCTGGGAGTGGCTTTTCATTTTCCAATATTTGTGCATCAATCACTGATCATTAGTGAAAACAATCACTGACTTAAAACATTGTAGAGTCCCATCAAGTCTTGCATATTTCTTATTGCTCTAATTAGTGCGGGAGGGTAACTTCGGAAAATCCTGAGGAGTTGATAGTGGTATCACAGAGAAAGCCCAGCATCAATTCCTGAACAAAATGTCACACTACAACAATTCACTGCCTATATGATGCCAAAGACCAGCTCCAGCTGAGTTCAGAGCTCATCCATTTTCTGTTGCAGAAATTCCTTACACTTGCTCTGAGCCAGCCAATCAAATGATGAGTGACCCTTG